ACTGTTTATGTTCACATTGTAACTTTTATAGTGTACATGTTGTGTACATTTTAGTTTAGCTTTTTTACTTCCTGTGGAAAAAATATATCATGAGGTACAGGACAGGAATTTCTATAGGCTATTTGAAATTTAAAGCCCATTGCAGTTTTTAAAACCATTAATTTCCCCTTACCCATTGACTCTAATGCATTTCACTAAAATCGTGAAATTTTGTTAAAGGGTCATGATTTTCACTGACATTTGGAGAATTAAAAATGCTCAGTTTCGCTCATCCCTAATGGTAGTATAGTTTTATGAACCTTTAGTACCTTTGATTGTGTTGTCCCTCTACTACTGACCCTTTTAATGAAACAGGGATATACATATTCCTAATGCATTAAAAGGGTCAGTCCATATTCTAACTCCAGTTGTTCTAATAGTGACCTACACAGCGGTTGAAAGCACATAGATGTGAACGTGTCCCATAGGAAACCATGCTAAATGGACTGTAGTGTGGTTATGCAAAATGCACTAAAAAATGCATAGGTGTGAACCAGGCCTTAGGCTGCATTCATGCCTTAGCATCGCGATTTATTGGCATTTTTATTTGAGAGTTTTTGAGCAGTTTTAGAAGTGTATTACAAGCGTTTTAGAAGCACACTACAACCGTTTTACTTCTTCAGGCATTTTTGTTTAGCCAATAGCAAGCACTAGGAGGAGGTGAGGGGAAGGAAATTAGGGGTGGAGAACTGCTGTTTGAGCAGAAAATGTGCAACAAAATGGTCATAAAATGTTCAAGTTACACATTTTCATGCATTTCTATTGAAGTCTATGGACCAAAAACACATGAATTCTACCAAAAAGAAGCTCATGTACTTTTTTGAGCGACAGGCGTTTTGGTTCAGTCGACAGAACATTCATATGTGAACGATGGCCATTGAAATGAATGGCATTTGGCTTGTTGAGTGTGTTAGAGCTACAAGATTCAAGCGGAAAATCACTCAGGAGTGAATGCAGCCTTATAGCTGGCCTGAATGAAGAGACCATAACTACAGACAATCTTCATCAGTGAGCTACATTCACCAAACGCTTGGCATCCATCCACAAATATCTTTATTGCATGCAGCAAGGTTGAGGCAAACATATAATGCAGTAGATGCTGGCATTTGCAGTATTTGAAGGTAAAAAAAATACTTCTTTACAAACCTCAATGTGCTTCTTGGAGGAACATGGGCGGACTGATCATTTGGAAACACGGGCACTGACCGAGGGCCCGGTGTCAGTAGCGGGCCCCATGAGATGCCCCTGGTACCTTTTTCATAGACTTTTTTGGGTGTGGTTTGAGTGTGGGCCCCATGAGTTGTCAGTCTGCCCCTGTGCAGGAACAATACAGTAATTCACAAAGAGGAAGGAAGGAGGTCGCATCATACAAAAGAGAAGGATTACAGAAAATGAATGCAGTTAATACAATGACCACAGCTTGCCAGCATACTGTAACTATAAACAATTAAAGTGAGTCTAAAAATGTAATGTTTTTTAATGCATTCTTTGCATTAACTTAAAAAACAATTTGTGCATTGGCTCCCCTTCAGCCCCCCCGTATACTTACCTAAACTCGATCTCAATCCAGTGCTGTGCCCGAGAGCAGCAGCTCTCTCCCTCCTCAAAGGGCAGATTCATAGCAGTGAAGCCATTGGCTCCTGCTGCTGTCAACTAAATCCTCTTACGAGAGAATGGGGGCAGGGCAGAGCCACTCTGTCTGTGTCTATAGATGCAGGCAACACAGCTCATGATTGAGCCCACACAAGTACCCCTTAGGAAGCTGCTTCCCATGGGGGCACTTGTGTGGGCTCAATCCCAAGCACTCGCAGAAGAGGTGGAGCCAGGAGCACTGGCAGGGGACCCCAGAAGAGGAGGATCTTGGCTGCTCTGTGCAAAATCATTGCACAGAGCAGGTAAATGTAACATGTTTATTGTAACAAAATACACAAAGATATACAATCACTTTAACTTGAAGTGAAACGGCATAGGATATAAACATATATGCAATTGCAATTGCTAGAGCCAGCATGCTCCCATTTGGTATTGACAAATGCCACTAAATTAATATTGAAATTAATGACACTAACCGCTTCCCCGCCGCTGTATAGCAGATACACTGCTACACGGCAGCACGGGTGTGCAAAATCACGTATATATATGTGATTTTGCATTTCCGGGTAGCGGCGCGCGCAAGCCACGCACACGCCCTACCCGTGCCGCCATTCACTGTCGCGGATGTCAATCACCGGCTCCCGGCCGGTGATTACCCGCTGGTGCTTGGTGATTGCCAACAATCACTGATGGGGAGGAAGACTGTTTTATTTACAAACAGTCTTCCTCCCTGTCAGCTCAAGCACATTGCTCAAGATGGCTGTGCACAGCACAGCCATCCCGATCAGTGTGCTTACAGTGAAGCACGCCCCCCCCCCCTAATAATACGCTCCCTGCACATAATTAACTGTTTGATCGCCCTCACATTAACCCCTTCCTGCCCAGTGCCATTAGTATAGTGTCAGTGCTGTTTTTTAGCACTGATCACTGTATTGGTGTCACTGGGGATGTCAGTGACACCAAGTTAGCTCCCCCCCAGTGTCAGAATGTCTACCGCAGTTCCGCAGTCTCGCTAAAAGTTGCTGATCGCTGCCATTACTAGTGGAAAAAAAATCCCAGTATCTATACCGCCATTTGTAAACGCTATAACTTTCACATAAACCAATTAATTTACATGTATTGGGATTTTTCTTAGCAAAGACATGGGGCAGAATACATTTTGGCCTAAATTTATGACGAAATTTGATTTTTAAGATTTTTTTACTGAACATATTTAATAGCAAAAAGTCCAAAATATAGTTTTTTTCTCAAAATTGGCAGTCTTTTTTTGCTTATAGAGCAAAAAATAAAAAACGCACAGGCAATCAAATACCACTGAAAGAAAGCTCAATTCATGGGAAAGAAAGGACTTAAATTTCATTTGGGTGTAGCATTGCATGACTGCGCAATTGTCAGTTAAAGTAACACAGCGCCATAACGCAAAAAATGGCCTGGTCAGGAAGGGGGGTAAATCCTCTGGAGGGAAAGTGGTTAATTATAGCATAATGACAGCTATGTAAACACAAATAAACAGTGTAATTTGCAGTAGATGTCCTCAAACCTAATAGACAAAAGAGAAAACAGACAAGGGAGTGGTATGTAATAGAGCTGAGTGTTCTTGGCATATTCCTGTCTTGGGGTGTCAGAAAATTCTCTTCTTCAGGTACAGATAAAGCAAAGCCAAAACTCATTGCGTTCTTATAAAGGTGGAGCTGGCTCATCATGATCATTTTTTAATATCTTTTTCATTAAGGCAACAAAATGGTCGTTGATTTCAGACCTGTTCATTAAAGGATAAGTTCACCTTTTGACCAACAATAATAAATGCACATTTTTTTGCAGGTAAACAAATATGCATTTATTATTTTTGGTTGCAGGAGCCTGTAAAACATTGCACCAGCAATCACCAGATTTATTGTACAAACTTCCTTGCAAAACGCACATGCATGTTTGTGTGTTGGGATATAACACTGTAAATGGTTAGGTTCTGTCATAACATTTGTCATCTAATCCATGGCCTTTTTTACATATTAGACGTTCCACCACAGGAGAAGGGGCTGCAGGGGCTCCTGCAAGATAAAGCTTTCACGTCTATTGCGCCATTGGAGAATATTACTTTCAAATCCTGCATTTGCATGTATGGTGGCTTTCCTTTTGCATCATCACATTATCTGACCAGAAATAACAATTTTTCTCTAGGCCTGAGGGATAAAGCCATGTTTCTTATCCATGCATTCCACCTACAGTGGATTTTTAATGTAAATTCAGTAGATACAGTGCTCAGCATAAATGAGTACACCCCAACAGATTTGCCAGAAAACCTTTACTTTTCTTTCCGAATCAACATTTTCTATGGGAAACAATACTACAAAACACTCCCACAAATGCAGGCCATTAATGGCAAATAAGATTTGTTAATTTGCACGCTCAAAACAAGTATTTTTCCTAACAAATTTATTCAAGCAGGGGCAGACTGATAACTCATGGGCAATAGGGGATCATGGGGCCCCTGTGTCCTTGCCCACACTCAAAGGACACCCAAAAAAGCCTATAAAAGGTACCAGGGGCATTTCATGGGTCCCCCTACTGACCCAAGGCCCTCGGGCAGTGCCCCAGTGCTCGAATGGTCAGTCCGCCCCTGCATTCAAGACTATGTTGCAAAAATGAATGCACCCCAATGAAAGTCTTAGACGCAAAGCTAAATTTTAGATAACAAAATCCTAATTAACTCAGGTGAGCCTAATTCATTAAATATGTGTCTAGCAGGCAGTTGATTATAAAAGGGTGTTACTTAACAAAGAGAAGCCCTTCCCATTTCAAGTGTCAGCAATGGCACCACATGAAAGATGACACAACGCCTGAGAAAGAAAATTTCTTTACACAAGAAATGTGAAGGCTACAAAAATATCAGCAAAGCTTTAGTTATCATTCAGAATACTGTAGCAAAAGTGATACGAATGTTAACAAAGATGGAACTGCAACCATCTCACAGAGACGTCCAGGCTGTTCATATAAGTCCTCATGCACACTGTACGTTTTTACAGCTGCTGTTTTTGGCTTTTGATTGTTTTTTTTCACAGCCAGTAAACTCCCCAGAATGTTATCATATGTGTCCATGCACACATAGACTGTAATCAGGGTTTTTGGCAGGGGCTTTCTAGAGGAGTTTTTTAGCTGTAAAAATGCTCTAATGCTGAAAACCACAGCAAACCCGCATTTTTTGAGCTAAAAAAACACAAAAAACGCAAACGCAAAAAAACAAGGCTAAACACTAATGCAAAAACGCTGAAAAACTCACATTTGTAACATTACTTTACACAGCTAGTGTTACCAGTGTTAATAAAACGCCCAATGTGCATGGAACCTAATACCTCGACAGGAGCGTCTTCTGAAGAGAAAGGTTGAAGAATATCGCCATGCAAGTTCACTGCAGTTAACTTAAGAAGTAGAAAGCCAAACTAGGCTGATTGTTTCCTGTGACACAATACGTACACTGCAGAGGAATGGCATTCATGGGTTTTGTCCATGGAGGAAGCCTCTCCTAAAGCCCATGCACAAAAAAGCCCACCTAGAATTTTCCAGGGCCCGTGCTGAAAAAGATGAAGACTAGTGGGACTCTGGAGTGATGAGACCAAGATAAATGTTTTTGGAACTGATGGCTTCAAAACTGTATGGCGCCGCAAAGGTGAGGAGTACAAAGAAAAATGCATGGTGCCTACAATGAAAGATGATAATGAGTGTCCTTCTGTGGGGCTGCATGAGTGCTGCTGGTGTCAGGGAGCTGCATTTCATTGATGGTATCATGAATTCACAGATGTAAAGTTCTATATTGAAAGAGAAGATGCTACCATCACTCCCTGCCCTTTTCCAACATGACAATGATCCAAAACACACATCTAAGGCCATTGCATTTCTGAAGAAGAACAGGGTGAAAGTGATTCAGCGGCCTTGTATGTCTCCTGATCTACACCCAAACAAACACCTATGGGGAATTCTGAAAAGACAAGTTGAGCATCACTCTCCTTCCAGCATCCAGGCTCTAAAAGAGGGTCGTTCTTGAAGAATGGAAAAAGATCGCATTTGCAATATGTTGCCAACTTGTTCATTCCATGCCTAGAAGACTTGGTGCTGTCCTTACAAATCATAAAGGTCATACAAAATACTAAATGGAGGATTTTCGGTGTGCGGTGTATTCATTTTTACATCAATTAATTTGAGTAAAACTGAAGATTTGGTAATCTGAGTTATATTATTAACCTTACTTTCATGTAATGAGCTAAACAAATGTTCTATATAACTCAGTTTTGTCAAAATTCTGGAAATTGTTTTTGTTTTCATTGAGATATTGATTAAAATCTTACTTTTCAAAAGGGGTGTACTCATTTATGCTGAGCATTGTAAATCTCATGAAACTATATCATACACCATGAGGCTTTCAGGAAAATTATAGTCATAAAAGTCTTCTCTGACCATTCGGACAGCTAGCTGTAAACACTATAATAATGGATCATCCTCTGGCTACCAACCAAACTATTACAGAAACAAATGAAGAATACTGTCATAAAACTGCCATTCACACTGTCAAATAGGATTTAGAGTACCAACTGCAAAAGAACAGTTGCTGAAGAAAAATGTTTTGTGGTGAACGAATAACAATGCTGTCGTTCAGAAACACACGTACTGTATGTATTCATACACAACCATCACTTTATAGAAGGAATTACTAATTATTGCAGACTGACAACACAGGTTAAAATCCCATTATCACAGCATTTGTTGCTTTGGAATGTTATTCATTAGCACATGACAGTCAACAACAGGAAAATACTGATATCTTCATGTCTAGGGATAAGGCTTGGGTTTGCCACTTTCATGGGTTTGAGGAGAATCCTGCAGGTGTGAGATTCACGGTCCTGGTGAATTTATCTGCAGATTTGCCTGGGAACATTTTTTGAACCATAGGGCCAATAAATGTGGATTTGATTAAGCAAGTCCACTTGCTATGCTGTATAAAAGAATGATGCAACCATATTGTCAGTGAATTGAAAGCTGTTGCAGGGAAAGCTAACAAACTGCATAAAGAAAGATTCAGATTGCTAGATATATGGGCAATCAATGTCTTTGCTGCCTTTTTTTCCATTTATTTTGTGAGCAGTTCAGCTGATAGGCTGCACTTTCAAAACTAAAGAAAACAAAAAAAAAAACATGGGCCCATGTTTAAAGAAGTATGGAAAAGCAAGAATAGGTATGTTACCCTCATGCTTCCATGACATATTTTTCTTTCACTCCTTTAGTTTCTGCAGTGCAGACACTTAAACTTTCAGGAAGGAGCCAGTAACAGTCCTGTCTCTGTTTGAAAGTTGAGAGGGGGTGGATACAATTCCAGCAGTCCACCCCCTCTCTTGGCAACATGCTAAAACTGAGAAGTGGAGGCATGTGAAAAAATGTGCTGTCTCTTCACCTCCAGCAGCTCTGCTGGACTAATGTTCTGGGCTGCACTGTTCCTACATGTATCTTCTCCCCTCTCCATCACCTCCCCTGTGGGCTTTGATTTCCCTTGTTCTCCGATCCCCTTCCCATCACTTAGCAGCTTTCAAAGCCTGTGTTGGCTTCTTCTCCAGTTACTGCTAGGGAAGCAGGGGTGATTGTGTTTTCAGGATGGTGAGCAGAAAAGGGGAATGTCAGTGGCAATTCTCGTGTTCATTAATTCCCCTGGATGAACACATGAAATGCTCTCTACACATCCCACAATGTTCATTCAGAAGGGAAGATATGGTAAACATCACCCCCCTGTTTACTATGTCTTCAACCTCTCACTCATCATGGGCACCTTTCCCTGTCTGCTCAAACATGTACTGGTTACCCCCATACTTAAAAAACCTTTGCTAGACCCCACGTGTTTGAAAAATTTAAGACCCATCTCCCTGCTCCCGTTTGCCTCCAAGCTTCTTCAGTGCCTTGTTCACAACCGTATAAACTGCTACCTCACCAAGAATAACCTTCTTGATCCCCTACAGGCTGGCTTCCACCCACAACATTCCACTGAAACTACCCTACTAAATCTCACTAACGACCTACTAACTGCTAAAACCAATGGCCATTACTCCATACTCACTCTCCTAGACTTTCTGCTGCCTTTGACACAGTCAACCAAGCGCTTCTCCTCAGTAAACTCCACTACATTGTCCTCCCTGACTCTGCTCTCCTCTACTGGTTCTCCTCTTACCTTTCTCAGCGCACTTTCAGCGTCACATACAACTCCTCCTCCTCTGTTCCTCTCCCTCTTTCCGTTGGGATACCCCAAGGCTCTGTCCTTGCGCCCCTCCTTTTCTCTCTCTACACCTCCTCCCTGGGCCAATTGAAACCTCCCATGGCTTCCAATACCACCTCTATGCTGATGACACCCAGATCTATCTCTCCACTCTCCAGCTCACCCCCTCAATCTCCTCATGTATCACAAATTTACTAAGCGACATATCAGCATGGATGTCACACCACTACCTTAAACTCAATCTTTCCAAATCTGAGCTTGTAATATTTCCTCCTCCCAATCCCCCACTCATGACTTTACCATTAAGATCAACAGCACAACCATTGGTCCTTCCACAAATGCCAGGGTGCTAGGTGTAATCCTAGACTCTGACCTTTCCTTTGGGCCCCACATCCAATCACTTGCTAAATCCTGCCACCTCAACCTCCAGAACATTTTTTAAAAATCCTCCCCTTTCTGACCAATTACACCACAAAACAACTTATCCATACCTTGGCTATATCCCACCTTGATTACTGCAACTCCCTCCTCACTAATCTACCGTTACACAGGCGATCCCCCCTTCAATCCATTACGAATGCTTCTGCCCCTCTCTGCCAATCCCTTCACTGGCTTCAACTAACCCAACGTATAAAATTAAAAATACTAATGACAACATACAAAGCCATCCACAACACTGCCCCTAGCTACATCACCAACCTCATCTGCAGATATCGTCCAAATCGCCCCACTCCACTCCTCCAAAGACATCTTTCTCTCTAGCTCCCTGGTCACTTCCTCTCACGTATGCCTCCAGGACTTCTCCAGAGCCTCACCCATCCTGTGGAACTCCCCACCACAGTATGTCCGGTCAGCCCCCGCCCTGTTGGCCTTTAGGCAATCTTTGAAAACTCACTTATTCAGGCAAGCCTACCCCACCTCCACCTAAGAACTGTACTTGAGCCACCTCCATCAGAACATCGCCTACAGCTATCACCTTTTGTACCACCTCCCCCTTCCTTTAGAGTAAGTTCCACGAGCAGGGCCCTCCTATTCCTTCTGTACTAAAATGTATTGTAATTGTACTGTCTCCCTTATATTGTAAAGCGCTGCGCAAACTGTTGGCGCTATATAAATCCTGTATAATAATAATAATAACAATAATAATGTTTTTCTATTTTGTAAATGAACACAGCACAATGAGTAGAGAGCATTTACTGTGTTCAGTACATTGCAGATCTGCTGCTTTACTGGAGGCTGTGTGTGCTAAGATTGTTCTGCCTGGAGGAGGGAGGGGGGAGGAGGGAGGAGGAGAGCAGCAGTGTATGTTGTGTGAAGTCGCAGGAGCCAGCAGAGAGCCCAGACCAAAGGAAGCGGGTGGATCCCGCCCACATTGTCAGCATAAGAATCCAGAGAAGACTGTAGCCCCTCCCACAGGTGATTAACTCCATTTTAACAGAAAGAGTGCACTTCTCAGAGGGCTGGAAAGATTTGTAGGTACTAGCAGCTCATAAGGATTAAGATTAAGCAAAAATTCTTGTAGTAACAAATAACACCTACCTTAATTTTTAAGACATTTCAGCCTATTATCCCTAATTAAAACTGTTCTGCTAATGGTAAATTTTACATTGCTGTATCCTCTGCAGCAGGGATGTATCAGTGGGCTCGTTTACAAGATCAAAAATGGGCTCTAGGCATAGAGAAAAAAAAGTGGCAAAAAGTGTGTGTGGTTGAAATTGTGCTGAATATTGGGCGTGGCTTAAAGGGGGTGTGGTTGAATAGAGTCTGATATGACTTACAGTGCAGAATGTGATAATGTTAAATAGAGAATGTACAGTGCGGAGATTACAGTGGTGGGTAGTATGTGCAGAGAGAGGAATGTGGAGTGTATGGTGGTGGGTAGTATGTACAGGGAGAGGGGTGCATGGCAGTGGGTAGAAGGTGCAGGGAGAGGAATGCGGAATGTACGGTGGTGGATAGTATGTGCAGGGAGAGGGGTGTGGAGTGTATGGCGGTGGATAGTATGTGCAGGAACAGATGTGGAATGCATGGCGGTGGATAGTATGTGCAAGGAGAGGGGTACAGAGTGTATGGCAGTGGGTAGTATGTGCAGGAGAGGGGTACGGAGTGTATGGCGTTGGGAAGTATGTGCTGGTAGAGGAGTGTATGACGGTGGGTAGTATGTTGCAGAAGAGGAGCGCAGAGTGTATGTCGGTGGGTAGTATGTGCAGGGAGAGGAGTGCAGAGTGTATGGCAGTGGGTAGTTTGTGCATATAGTTACATAGTTATTCTGGCTTAAAAAAGACAAAAGTCCATCTAGTTCAACCATAAAAAAAAAAAAAATTATAGTCCTATACCGACAGTTGATCTAGAGGAAGGCAAAAAAACCCAGCAAAGCATGATCCAATTTTCTCCTGCAGGGGAAAAAATCCTTCCTGATCCCCCAAGAGGCAATCGGATATTCCCTGGATCAACTTTACCTACAAATGTTAGTATCCAGTCATATTCTGTGTATGTAGGGATAAATCCAGGCCTTTTTTAAAGCAATCCACTAAGCTGGCCAGAACCAAGTCTTGAGGGAGTCTATTTCACATTTTCAAAGCTCTTACTGTGAAGAAACCTTTCCGTGTTTGGAGATTAAATTTATTTTCCTCCAGATGTAAAGAGTGCCCCCTTGTCCTCTGTGATGACCTCAGGGTGAATAACTCTACACCGAGTTCACTATATGAACCACTGATGAATTTGTAC